GGGTGCTGAGCCTGGGGGTGCTGAGCCTGAGGGAGCTGGGCCTGCTCGTGTGGAGTCTGGCAGTGCTGTGCCTGGCGGTTCTCCGGGTGCCTCGTCTCGCCGGGAGCCACTCTCTCCACAGGAGCTCCGTGAGTGGTTTGCCCGGCGCTAGAGGCGAGCTGCTGGAGCTGGAGGTGCTGCGGGTACTGGAGGTTCTGCTGCTGCTGAGGGTGCTGGTGCCGCGGGTCCCGGAGGTGCTCGTACAGGGAGTACTGGAGCTGCTGGGCCTGCGGGTACTTCTGGAGTTGGAGCTGCTGCGGGTGTTGGCGCGGAGGCTACTGCTGTCGGTCCTGGAGGTGGTCCTGCTGGGGGTGCTACTGGTGTTGCTGGAGGTACTGGAGCTGGAGGTGCTGCTGGTGCTGGTGCTGCCGCTGGGGATACTGGTGTTGTCCCTGCTGTGTCTGGAGTCGCCGCGCGGCCTCGGCCGTACTTCGTTCCGCTCCTTCAGCAGGTTCTTGGTCTCCCGTCTTCTACTGGTACTCCTGCTCCCTTCGAGTGTCCATAGCCTGTCCCGTCATAATTACAGTTACAGCCGGCCTTCCCACTGCCTGCTTCGTCTCCCTACACTGGTCCTACTGGAGGTCTTGTTGAGCGTCGTGAGCCTACGTCTCGCCCTGCGTCGCCTGTCCGTGCTGCTCGCACTAGTGGTCGCGGTTCGCGTCAGCGTCCTCCTCCTGTACCTGGCACGCACCATATGTCTCTACGTCCGTCCACTACTCCTCTGCGTGCCCCTTTACCTTCTCCTCCTGAGTCTTCTCTTCCTGCTCTTGCTGACCCGACGTCGGACTCTCTTCGTGCTGCCAGTCCTACTGTCACGCGTCTCCTTGCTACTGTTGTCACCGACCCTTTCTTTGAGTCCACTGCTGCGTCTGCCCTAGTTGCTGAGCTCGTCGACTTTGCTGCTCGGTGTCGCCTAAACTACGCCGCCAGTCTTGTTGCTGAGTCTGAGTTTGTCTGTCCTCCGTCCGTCGGGGGTGAGTGTGCTCTTGGCACGGACGTCCTTGAGGACAGGCAGGAAGAGTTCCAGTGTCTGGCTGCTGCTTCACCTCATCTCGTGTCCGTACTGCTTACCCCTGAGGGAGACCCGGATGCACTTGACATCCCGACTCCGCACTCTTACGCGGAGGCGATAGAGGGTCCCTACTCCTCTCAGTGGCAGGCAGCTATGGACATTGAGATGGCTTCCTGGAAGTCCACAGGCACCTACGTTGACGAGGTTCCCCCGCGTGGGGCGAACATCGTGATTGGCATGTGGATTTTCAGGGTGAAGCGGCCGCCGGGTTCTCCGCCTGTCTTCAAGGCGCGTTACGTGGCTTGTGGCTTCAATCAGCGGCAGGGAGTTGACTACTTTCAGACCTTCTCTCCCACCCCGAAGATGACCACTCTTTGGGTACTGCTGCACAAAGCTGCTCACTGTGACTACGAGCTTCACTCTCTTGACTTCAGCACAGCTTTCCTGCAGGGCAACCTGCACGAGGAGATCTGGCTGCGCTGCCCACCTGGCTTCACTGGGTCCTTTCCTTCACTGAGGCACCCAGTGGAGCCTCCGGTGGCCAGTCTACGGTCTCCGCCAGGCACCGCGTGAGTGGCACGACACACTAAGGACTAAACTTGCGGCTCTTGGGTTTGCTCCCTCTACTGCCAACCCGTCGCTGTTTCTGCGCACCGGCACTTCTTTGCCGCCGTTCTACATCCTCGTGTACGTCGACGACTTGGTCTTTGCCACAGCTGACACTGTTGGACTCGCCCACGTGAAGTCCGAGTTGCAGAAGAGACACACGTGCACAGACCTGGGTGAACTGCGCAGCTACCTTGGCTTGCAGATCACCCGGGACAGAGCACGCCACACCATTACCCTAACTCAGTCACACATGGTGCAGCAGGTCCTTCAGCGCTTCGGCTTCACGTACTCCTCGCCTCAGGCCACTCATCTGCCTACTCGCCACTCGCTCTCAGCTCTGCCTTCGGATGAGTCCGTAGAGTCGAGTGGCCCGTACCCAGAGCTTGTTGGCTGCCTCATGTACCTGATGACCTGCACTCGACCTGACCTCGCATACCCTCTTAGCATTCTCGCACGCTATGTTTCGTGGGAGACACCGACCGGAGCACATGGCTGTAGCGAAGAGGGTGTTGCGCTACTTGTGCAGTACGTCAGGCATGGGGCTTGTGCTTGGAGGGCAGAGACCTGTGGTCCTCACTGGGCACGCAGACGCTTCTTCGGCTGACGACCAGGCTACGCAGCGGTCGTCACAGGGTTACACCTTCAGCCTTGGTTCCGGCTCTGTTTCGTGGCGGGCTACCCGCTCGTCTTCTGTTCTCGGCTCCAGTTGTGAGGCTGAGATCTACGCCGGGGCCATGGCTGCAGAGGAGCTTCGCTGGCTCACCTACCTACTGATTGACCTCGGAGAGCCGCCTCGTTCTCCTCCAGTGCTGTACGTAGACAACAAGGCCATGCTGGCCTTGTGTCGAGAGCAGAGACTGGAGCACAGAACGAAGCACATTGCTCTCCGCTACTTCCTTGCTCATTAGCTGCAGCAGCGTGGTCAGCTGCGTCTTGCGTACGTGGCCTCTAAGGCCAACATTGCTGATATCTTCACCAAGGCGCTTGCGCCTTGTGATCATCAGCGCTTCTGTACTCAGCTGGGTCTTGTGCCTGCCTTGCCTCACTTGCTCACCTCTTGACCTTGCTTGTACTGTTACATATATATATATACACCTGCTCTTGCTTGTCTAGCCTTTTATATATATGTGTACTCCTGCATGTGAACTGGCCTTGTGGCCTTGAGCTTGTGCTCGGAATGTGTGGTGACTTTGTGATCCACCCTGAGCTTGCTTTGCTTTGCTTTGCTTGACTGGTCTTGTGACCCCTTGTACTCCCCCACTTTGCCTATGGGGGTGTGTCAGAACATTATAGCTTATGCTTTTGTGTAGGCTGTAGTGGGGTAGCCTATATGGGGTACAACCCTATTAGGGTTACTACTTGTACCCAACTCTTTCATAGTGCATTCATTCTCGTTCATTCTCACAGTGATGCCCACAGCAGCACTTGTAAACTACCAGATTGTCGCGCTAGCAATTGCGCGGACAGCAACGTAGCGCGCTAGCGCAATTTTTCACATGTCCTCTTTGCCGCACAAAATTTCCGCCATTCATATTTTCAGCATTATTCTTGCTTGGCTTCTTCCAGCCAATAAGATTAACCTGTGTCATGTGCGCCAGCACATACCTTGCCACCCTTAAGGAATAACCTGCCTCGTCCAACTTATGCGATGCAATGGTGGCATGCTTGGTGGAGAGTTTTTTTTCGTTGGAATATTTTGTCAGAACCATATTGTAGGCTGTAGTGGGGTTGACAATATGGGGTACAACACTTTTAGGTTTGCACATTTGTACCCACCTGTTTCCTAGTTCATTCATTCCTTGTTCTATCTTTCACATATTTCTTATTGCCTGACCGTACAGTTTTGAAATGTGACTTGCCTTTTTCGAGACTCAAATGCTACGCATTGTTTGGTTTCAGGATTTTTTTTAGGCCGACTTTTTATGTGTCAAGGCTCAAATATACCAGCTCGAATTTATCCTCCTTTCCTCCCTCCCTCCTCCCCTCCCTCCCTCCTTCCCTCCCTCCCTCCCTCCCTCCCTCCCTCCCTCCCTCCCTCCCCTCTCCCTCCCTCCCTCCTTCCCTCCCTCCCCTCTCCCTCCCTCATTTCTCCTTCGAGGACTCGAGAATCTTTCATTTCTCTACTAGTTTGCTAGGCATCATGTTTTTCGATCAGTCCCTTAACCAGATCTGTTACTGCTCGTAGGACGTGTCTGTTGGGTGCAAAATGTATTTTGCACGTCAACCTGTCGCCTATTCGTCGAGCAAGGTGAAATTTGAAGACATCTGTTTTGAGGTAATTTGTGTCATATGGAATGCGCATTTGTGTGTTTTTTGTTTTGGCGTTTACGGTTTGTGAATCGCCTTAGCGGTTCATGAGTTATCGGCGTTTTAGTGTGAGGTTGCATTCATGAGTTTTCATGATTGTTCGTGTGTGTTTCGTGTGTTCGTGGCGTTTCATGAATGTGTGTGAAGTTAGAGGGTACATAAGTGTTCATGGACCTTCGCATTCTGTTCATGAGAGTTTGCGTGCTGTTCGTGTTCGCTCATGAGCGTTCATGTACGATCATGTTCGTTCATGACTGTTCATGTTTGTTCAGGCTTGTTTATGTTTTCTTCATGAGTTTCCGTGTACCTTTCATGGATGTTCATGGTGAGTTTCTGGTGTGCTGGGTGTGGGGCTCGAGATTTTGACCAGCCCCTTTGACTAAGTCTTGCGCTGGTCAAGGCTCGAGGCCATGAGCCCGTGCCCATTTGCGCCATCATTGGAGCAAGGGCCGAAGGGTGCCAGTCGAGGCACACGCGCGGCCTGACTGGTCTGACTGACCAGTCGAGCAATTGTAATTCTTCACCGCTCTGACTGGTCTCCAGGATGTCCTGGCCGCCATGGATTTCTCCGCGGATTAACGAGAACCTACTTCGTGAAGGTTACTTATCAGTTCGTAACTCTGAGACCATTTTCGAGTTCCTGAGTACATTACGAAGCGGAGGATATAAATTTTATGTCTACTACGCGGACATTATAACCTCGGCTACTCAGAGGTATCTCAGTGTTCCAAACACATTTCAAGCTAACCAACCTCAAGGGTTCCTTGATACTTCCGGCAGTTTCCAAGGCTCCTACAATGGACATCGCAACTGCAATGAAATTAAAATTAGAAACAACAACACTCCTGATCGCTATGCAAGACATGATCCCAAGGCTACGACCTCGGGAGTTCATCACTTCCTTCAGGAGAGCAAGTCACGAGCTTCGAAAACCTTTTATAAGGAGGTGGTGCTCAGTCCTCAAGCAGCATCAGCTCTTTTTTGGTCTCAGCCTTTTCTCAAACGGCTGCTTTCTGAGAATCATCATCGCACCATGCCTCCTAAACGGTCGTCAAAGGTCACTGCTGAGGTCACGCTCCCGGACGACCTCCTAACGGATCCGATCACCACGCCGGCTCCTGTTGTGGATGGGGCTGAGAAGCAAGGCTCAAACGATGCGGTTACTGTTAATGCAGTCACGGACAATGCTGCGCAGTTCGTCAAGGAATCGGCTACTACTACTGCTGCTGACGTCGCTGGTGGTTCTGGACTATCAGTGGAAGAGAAGTTTCAAGACAACCAGGCTCCTGTTGCTGTGCTTGACGAGTTCCTGGAGGATGATGAGGATGAAGAGCTGGAGATCGACATTGCCAAGGAAGATGCTTTTCGTCTTCGTTATACAGCAATCTTACTCATTCCGATGGTGCTTTCTCAGGAGATTAAGGCCATTATTGCTGCAGTGCGTCTTCTGATGACCAAGGTCTGGAGCTCTTCTCTAACCGAGAACGCTGGGGTGACGGCTAACATACAGGAGATGATACCTGGTTTCGTCGTGAAGACACGATTCTGCTGGCTTCAAATCTCCTTCCTCGACGAACGGGATGCGCATCACATCAAGTTTCATGTTTTTGAGTACCAGAAGGCGAATGCTCCGGCGATCAAGTGCATCTGGCACCATACAGAGAACGCTTTGTACCTTAAGGAGAAGGCTACTCGTCCCCTTGCTATTGAAGTGGTGTTCCGGCGAGTGCCTGCTAACATTGTCCCGGATGTTTTGAAGGACCTGCTTGCCCGTTTCAAACTGAAGAAGCGTCAGCAGTCGCCTTTCAAGGAAGGGTTTGGTTTCCATCGGGTGGCTCACCCACTCACCGGAGCTGACACCGATGTTATCAAAGGCCTGGTCGTGCAGCATCCTGGGGATCGTTATCGCTGGCGCCACATGGTCGACAGCCCGATGGGGTTCGGAGAAAAGCTCATGGTCCACTACCCTGCACTGTCCTGTCAGCTCTGCAATGGACAGCATTATGACATTTATCATGATCTGTTCATCACAGAGCGGCAGAACAATATAGGGAAGTGGAACCTTACCTTGGGGAAAGCTCATAGTATCAATGGTAACCGCATCAGCTTTCTTCATTACATCGCAGACTTACCTTTCTCATCTCTCACTGACGATCTCTGTTGCGCTCGCAGCTGCTTCTCTGCGCACCTCCGCTCTCGTCACCCCCATACTGAAAGATCCATCCATCGCTCTTGTCTCGACCGGCAGCAACCGCGAAGAATGGATCTGCACGCAAGTGTGCTGCGGGAAGGCGAAAGGGAAAACTTTCTTGGCTGCGGCGGATCACATCATCTCTTCGACTCACCTGCTGAACCAGGAGAAGATGGGTACTGCCACAAAAGCCTCCATGGACAAGGCTACTCCTGCCGGTTTGAAGAAGGATTACAGCTTCTGAGGCTGCGGAAGGAGAACAGTGTACTGTTGGCGATTGTAGGGTGGAGTGCAGTAGTCAGTGTTGTCACCATCTTCGGCCTGTGGATGAACAGGGGCCTCCAGGCAGTTATCAAATGAGTAACAAAAATTTCTTCTCCTTAGCAGGCCTTAACGTCAACGGCCTAGGTGACAAAACAAAGCAAGACAGAGTCTCAACCTGGATTAGAACAGCAGCTGACATCATCATTCTCACAGACACAAGACTTCCGGATAACCACACTTACTGGAAAACTCCATCCTTCACCACAGTCCTCACAACGCCACCCACTGATAAAGCCGGCGGCGTTGCCGTTCTTACCAGGGATCCCTCCGTCCTTCTCACGAACACCAGCACACACCCATCAGGGAGACTGATAGTAACTACCGCTAGACGCTTCGGTTTCACTCTTACCCTCATTGCTGCTTACTTTCCCGCAGATGCCACTGACAGATGCTCTTTTTTGAAGAACGTTGTCGGCCCGGCTTTTGACCAGATCCCCACCACTGACCACGTAGTTCTCCTGGGAGACCTGAACATGGTAGAAGACCCAGTTTTAGATCGGACGTCACAATCAGGCACTTCCTTAGAAAACGACAGGCTTATTTCACGATGCAACCGCTTTCAACTCTCAGACGCTTTCCGCACGGTTCACCCTAAGCTCAAAGAGTACACCTTTTACGCTGCATCCAAGCAATCCAGCTCTCGCATTGACCGCGCGCTAGTTTCTTGCTCGCTGCTCCCACATCTTGATATAGCTGCACACATACGGCCGGAGGAGTACATCTCAGATCATGGATTCGGGATCAAAATCGCCTTAAAAATAAAAGCATCTTCTCACCTGGGTCCTGGCATCTGGAGACTGCATGCAGCAGCCCTAGGCAGGCCTGGAATTTGGAAAGCGGTAGAGGCTGCCTTGGCGAAAGCGGCTGAGGATGGAGATGGTAATTTCGAGTTACTACTTGGGAGGCTCAATGCTGGTTTACGTGCGTACATGAAGGAGGAGAACAAAAGAGTAAAGAAAACAACGGCTCATCTGGCGGAGGTAGTGGCGGAGCTACATCAGGAGCAGATGCGCAACCCGAGCTGTCAAAAGACGAGTGACCTGTTTCACGTCAGGGACGCGCAGCTGAGAGAGTACCATGCATCAAAACGGGACAAACTTCACGTGATGACAGGGACGGATGCGGAGTTAGCTGGGGAGGTCCCTTCGCCTTTCCTATCGGCGAGAGTCAAGGTCAGGAAGCAGAAGACACAGATTGCAGAGCTGAAGGTGGGAGGCGTCAAGATTTCTGACTCACCCGGGATTCTGACGGCCGCGACGCAGTATTTCACGGACCTTTTCGGCACTGACGGTCGGACATCAACAGAGCGGTGGAAACCGCTTGCTGGGAGAAAGTTGGATGCAGAGTCGGCGGCTGGGCTCGCAGCAGATTGGACAGAAGAGGAGGTTAAACAGGCCTTCAAAGCGCTTGCAGACGGCAAATCACCCGGGAAGGATGGGCTCCCGAAAGAGCTGTTTGAAAGACACTGGGATGTCCTCGGCAAGGAGTTCCTCCGCATGGCGCAATCCTTCTCGGTTTCAGCAACCATTCCTGCAAACATCAAAGAAGCGATTACTATTCTGCTCCATAAAAAGGGAGAGAAGGACAATCTGGACAACTATCGTCCGATCACACTTCTGAACTTCACGTACAAGGTGCTGGCGCGGGTGGTGGCGAACCGGATGAAGATGCACCTGCACAAGGTGATCTCGGCGGAGCAGTACGGCTTTATTCCCGGCAGGAGAATCTCGGAGGCCATCGGTGTGGTTGCTGATGTTATTGAGGCGGCGAAAAAGGGGAATGAAGACTGGTACATGCTGCTGGTAGATTTCCGCAAGGCCTTCGACTCGGTGTCTAGAAGCTTCCTTTTCAGCACCCTCAAGGAAATGGGCTTCCCAGAGAGATTCGTCGGCTGGGTGGAAGGTCTGCACAAAGACACAAGAACAAGGTTATTAATCAACGGTTGGCTGGGGGAAGCAGTGGATGTTAAGTCGGGGGTGAGACAGGGCTGCCCACTCGCTCCGTACCTGTTTCTCTGCGCGGTGGAACCGCTGGCGCAAGAGGCAGAGCGTCGGAAGATTGGTCTCTGCAACAAGGCAAACCAAGGGTTAGCGTGTGTCGGTTACGCGGACGACACGACACTTTTTTTGGATGGGAAAAGACAAATTGCCAGGGCTGAGAAGCTGTTAGCCTGGTTTGCTGGACTGTCAGGGCTGCAGACGAACAAGGGCAAATCGGTGATCCTCCCGATCGGCCACAACATTGGGAGGAGACCAGGGACGCTGGGCGGCTTTAAATGGGCCAAGGCGGACGAAGCGGAGAGAGTCCTGGGAGTCTGGGTCACCCCCTCTGGAAGTAGTGAGCCGACCTGGAAGCGGGCTTTTGAAAAAATAATAGTGGAGTTGATTAAGTGGAAGGCGCTCTTCCTCACGATTGCGGCGAGGGTTGTGATTATCAGCTGCTACATCACACCGAGAATAGCATACCAGGCGCAGGTCTATCCCCCGTCAGAGGAGATCTGGAAGAAGCTCGTTAAGCTGATTCACAATTTCTTAACGGGGAACAATGTATCGGCTGAGAAAGGGTTTGTGCTGTGGAGCTGGGGGCTGCTTACCACGCCGAAAGCCGGCGGAGGTCTCGGAGTTCTGGACCCAGGAGTGCTTCTCGCCTGCCTTGCCGCGAGAAGGATTGGCTGCTTGCTGCTGGAGAAGAACCAAAAAAAAAAAAGGAAATCACGCTCAAGGCGGCGGGATTACCGCTCAGAGAGGACACGTTCCTGGCTCATGAACGGTTGCTGAAGCACTGGCCGGGAGAAAACGAGCGCTGGTTACAGACATGCGAGACTTTCATGAAATCCCCGATGGCGGACACTGGGAAGTCAGACAGCAAAGAGGAGGTGGCGCAAGAAAGGGTGGTTTTTAACCGGAAGCTGCTTCTGAACTGCACGAACCCAGTGGGTGGACAAAAGGAGGCTAAGGGCCTCTGGGGGACGAGGCTGGGTGACCTGGTAACCACGCGTCAGGACGGTACGGTGGAGATTAAGGACATGGATACGCTTGAGCGGGAGCTGCGTAGCAGGGACTCAGCCCGGCTGGCTCTCAAAGCACTTGATGCAGCCCCGCAGGAATGGAAGGAAGTGCTCATCCCGGATGCCAGTGGAAAGGGGGCTGGATCTGGGGTGAAAAAATCGTCTGGGAACAGCGGCGGTGGCGAACATGCAGCGGCTACAATTTTTCGTTCGGGGATTTTCACGAACGGGCAGCTGTCATCCCTGAAGCAGCTGAGGGAATCGTGGGCTGTGCCAGACGCGGTCTCCACGAAGTAGGAGAAGTGGGTCGGCAAGTGGAGCGGCAAGATAGACTGGGACCGAATTATCCACACCAGAAACTCGCTTGCCATCCCGAACCGACCGCGTGATTTCCTTACGCGTATACACAACCACAACCTTCAGGTTGGGGAGAGGGTGGATTTTCTCAGCAGTAAGCCGAAGTGCCCGTACTGTGGAGAGGTTGAGACACAGGATCACTGCCTTTTTAGCTGCCCGGTGATTCAGCCTGTGGTTTCTGGTCTTCGGCGCGCTCTGCGCATGCTCAACCCCACAAGGACATCTGCCTCGCTCGGTGATCTACTGTTCCAGGAAACTGGTACCACGTCAGACTTCCCAGAGGCTACACTAACGGCCATCACCTTCCACCAGTTGTGGGTGGAACGCTGCGAGGCGAGCTTCCGTGGGCGAAAATTCAGAGCCCGGCGGGTGCTCAGGAGAATCGGGACGGCTTTCCGGCTGCACGTAAGGGTGTACACGAGAGTGACTGGGGCGAAAGTTGTGAGGCCAGGCAAGCTGGGGAAACTCAAAAAGGTTAGGGGGTTTTTGAAGCAGAACAAAAGATGCTGATGAGGATCAGGAAAGTCGGAGACAGAAAGTGGAGCTGGTCGGACAGCTTTGCGGCCATCTGGAACAGACCCAAGAGGGCTCTCCAACCGCCCTAGTTGTCTCGCTGGGCAGCGCAAGGTGCCTGCCCTCACGCTCAGTTACGTCTGCTATTGCTGTATGCATTGTCCTCTTTAATGTATACTCCAATTCCAAAAAAAAAAAAAAAAAAAAAAACACGCGCGGCCTGAGGCCGTGAGCCTTGACCCACGACTGTTTCGGCCACACGCCCGAAAGTGGCAGTGAGGTGGCTAGAGGGACAGGACAAGCGCGCGTGGGTCTACAATTGAATCGTGGGACCCTCGAGCGTTTTGTCTCCATTATCCGAGAAGAAAATTTTGCCAGGGTGTTTCGTGACGCGCGCGATTTACTTTCGAAGCTGGTACAAATTGTGGGAGTGTGATTTAGGTGACTTCGTCATTTCGTCGCGTAACTGCGCGATTTCTTCAGGAGATTCCATGAGCTGTCACGAGTGGTCGCCACGAAACACCACGAGCGTCCACGAGGCTTTGCAAACAAGGATGGCCCACATAAACGTTCATGGGCGAGTATGTTGCTACTAGTTTCGCATGGAGAAAGTTGGCAATTCGAAGTATGCTTCTAGTTGTCATTTCGGTGGGCTCAATGCTTTTGCCTTTGGTTGGTTAGTATAAATCTTTGCTTGTTTTTGTTTGTGATCAATCTTTCAGTGAACGATTTATTCTCTATCAACGTATTGACGTGAGGAGAATTTCTGCGCACGAGCCAATTAGTCATTTAACGCTGTGCAACGGAGCTTGGGAGTACTCCAGTGCACACGATCGTTTTAACACTTGGGAAATCCCTCTACAAATACGGACCCTTGGTTAGGGGCTGGTCCTACCAAGCACCCGAGGACCCTTGGAGGTGACCCCGTGGGGACATTCTAGTGTTAATAAAAGGTGTGCTTAGAGGTTTCTAGTCCCAATAGTAGTCAGCACGTGGTATTAGAGCTGTGGTTCTACGGACTGCCGTTAGAAGAACATGGCATCGGGCGACAATGAAGGTTCTTTGGCACAAGCTAATAGCGGAAGTCAAGATAATGGTGATTCAGCGCTAAGGAAGGTGCGGGTCAGCCAGGGCTCCCTATTGAAGGAGGTGTTCAAGAATTTCGTCGTCGACAAGTTCAACGGCAGCAACTACGACGATTGGGCGTGGAAAATGCAGCTGTATTTTTGGCAATTCGGCTTGTTGTAGCTGATGACGGGCGTGGAGAAGAGACCGGACGATTCGAACCTGCAAGAGGAGTGGGACGAGCGTGCAACGGCCGGATACTACCTTCTCACAGAGTTTGGAACTGAACTAGTGGTCACACGTGATGCATTTGTTGGAAGAAGCTGATTGTGGGCCACGAGCTTGGAAGGTGCTAAAGGAGTTGCACGCGCCAACCTCGGTGGTTGCAACGTTGATGTTGGAGCGTGAGTTGGCCGCATTGCGCCTGAGTGAGGGGGAGCCGATTCAACCGATTCTCTAAAAAATGCGGGAGCTGTACGCGAAGCTGCAGATCGCGGGCATCACCTACCCGAAACAAACGAAGTGCTTGCGAATGCTGTCATTGCTACCTGAGTCTTCGCTGCTGTTCACGAGTGGCATAAGTCTTCCTCAAAACCAGGGTTCGTGGACACTCGAGTGGGTGCGAACCAAGATCTTGGAGGAAGACTTCAGGAGGAGGCAGGTGAGCCACGATCACGATTGTGACGGCGGGTACGCAGTGCAAGGCAGCAGATGGCGCAAGGGGAAAAGCCGGGGTGAAGGTTAACAGGGGCGATATGGAAGCAGGCGAGAAGATAAGAAGCCGAACGGCAAACGTGATGACAAAGAAGAAGCTGGTGACAACAGTGATGATGACGAAGAAGAGGAGGACCGTGGCTACCGAGGGCTCAAAGGCACTTGTTGGTATTGCAAGAAGCCGGGCCACACATGGGCAAAATGCTGGAAGCGGCCCAAGTGGTGGACCCCGGGACATGAGGAAAAGGACAGCAAGAAGAACCACCACTATGGTGTTGGTTATGTAGCAGAGACCGCAAGGGAAGAGGGAGACAGTTGGGAGCGGGCTCCATGGCAGTTTTTCCATGTGCAATGGAACAAGGGGAGTAAGAAAGCAACTGCCAAGGAGGGAGCAGTGCCGCATCCTCTTAACACGTGGATCCTTGACTTCGGAGCAGCTCATCACATGACCCCGAGGGCGGACCTGCTAGAGAAGATCGGTGCAACGAGCATCATTGAAATGAATTCCGAATGCGGGCACAAGATGAAGGTGTTAGGAGTCGGCAAGGTAGCCTTCAAGGGAGCTGACGGGAAGTCGATTGTCCTTGAGGACGTGCTTTTGGTGCCGGAGCTGAAGGGGAACTTGATTTGCCTGCGGAAGATGGGGCTTGTAGGTGTTACGACGGAGACCGAGGGAGCTGAAACGTTCAAGGGACGTCTCGGCAAACGGATACTGTGGAACCTGCACGAGGACAGGGACCTGCGTGACGAGTTGTGGCGTGTACCAGTGGTGCCATGGAGTGAGGTGTCACCTGAAAATGAGAATGGGGTTTGCGGCTGCAAGGGGAAGTTTGCTGCGGTGGCTGCTGGGACGATTAAGGAGCTGAAAACTACTATGGAGCTGCTGGTGTAGGAGTTGCACCTGCTGCGATCAGAAGTTGATTGTGGCCTAGGATCTACTCAGGAAGGTTCGCACGCAGAGAAGTGGTGTTGGTGGGCCCTTGACCTCAATAGCAGAGTGAATGTAAATGCTTGAGATGATTAAGACATGCAAATACAACGATATAAATAAGAGTACAGGGGAATATGAATCGACCTAGCTAGCCATGTACTCTAAGGGGTACATTCCCTTATTCAAATACATTCCCAACTGTGCGGCGCGAACAGTTAAGAAACTGTTCCCCCGCCGAAACCATCCTGCCTGCAGCTGCCTGATGCTGTCTCCTCCAACGGTTCAGATGCGTTCCAACCGTCTGACGCTTCGCGTTCATTCGCGATACTACGTGCTTCTCTTTGCTGCGGTGAGGAGTGCACACTAATATTCAAGTATTACTATTCGTAACACCCCCCTTCACTCCTGGCCGCAGCTCGACTTGACCTGCTTGACCACGCCGCTGAGTTCGGAGCAGTGCTGATACTGCTGGCGTGGCAGTCGCTTCGTGAGGAAGTCTGCTGCCATGTCACCGGTCGGGCAGTAGGTCAAGTTGACCTTGCCCTTGTCCACCTCATCCTTCACGAAGAAGTACCGCAGCGCAATGTGCTTGGTGCGGTTGATGAAACCAGGTTTGTTCGCGATGCGAATCGCGCTCTGGTTGTCGCAGTGCAGGCGAAAGTTCGTTGAGGCCGGAATTTTTGCTTCCTGCAGCAGTTCCTGAAGGTAGAGACCTTCACGAACAGCTGCTGTTGCTGCGATGAATTCAGCTTCCGCCGATGACAGGGCAACCAACTCCTGCTTCTGAGAGTTCAAGGAGATGGGGCCGCTGGGCTCGAGGCGGAAGAGGAACCCTGTCCTTGACCGTCGATTGTCATGGTCAGCGGCGTGATCGGCATCCACGTAGCCGACGAGGCTGAAGGATGTGGTTGGGATGGTGGAATAACTGAGCCCGACATTGGGCGTGGAGATGAAGAATTGAAGGGCTCGCTGAAGATCTGAGAGATTCTCAGCCGTTGGTTTGCGTGAGTACTGAGCCAACTGGCTCGCAATGTAGGAGAGGTCGGGCCTCGAGTAACGGATGCGAAGAGCAGGCATCCCAACTGCTGCTGGTAAGTGTGAAGCCCAGCAGGGGACAAGGCTTTGCTGTCAGGCTTGTGGTTGGGTCCTGGAGTGCGGTAAGGGGTGGAGAGTGGTGCAGGCGCAATGTTGAAGCGCTTGCTAAGCTCCTCCGCATACTTCGCCGCTGAGAGATGAATGGCTTCCGGCGAGTAGGTGATGTTGAGTCCAAGAAACTGCTTCACATCATGATTGCAGGTGATGTCGACGCGCCCTGCGAGGCTTCTCTCAAACTGCTCGAGCAGTTTGTTGCTTGAGCCTGTGTAGAGAAGGTCGTCGACGTAGACCGTGAGGAGGATGTATTCGCCGCTGAAATCGCGGCGATACATTCCAGGATCGTGAGGCAGCTGCTTGAACCCGATTTCAAGCAGTATGTTGTGCAAATACTGCTGCCAGAGTCTCGGTGCCTATTTGATCCCATAGAGGGACTTGCGTAGCTGACAGACACGTGGGTCTCCGTCGCCGTAAGTGTGTGGCTGTTCCACGTAGATCACGGGATCCACTAATGCGTACAAGAACGCATTCTTCACATCGATCTGCCGGAGTGGTAGGTGTCGTGCGGCTGCGATGGCGAGGAGAATTCTGACGGACGTGTGACGGCTGACCGGTGCAAAAGTTT